TTCTATACCGTCTAGAAAACAAGAAGCATGCAGATGGTTCGATTCAGAAACTGCAAGGACTGTATCCTCAACGTCTTCCCCTGACACATCAGACACCGCATAACCCAGCTTCCGCGTACCCTCCACCTTCCCGCGGCGGACGGGGAACGGCTACCGCGGAAGAGGTCACAGACGAGGGATGTATGGCAATTATAACTGACGGTCATACTAGAGAGCGTATTTCAATGAAGAACAAGGCGATCAACATCATGACTGCGACGAGAACCTTGATAAGTACTACAAACTAGAGGCATCTGAGGATGAACAGTACTCCGAGGATGCATCTGCCTTGATTTGGGTTGCACCATGATCATTATTGACCGTTGGTTCCTCCATAAGCATTCACTAAGAATAGTAATGTAGCGGTGCCCCATACCAGTGCCAGTACATGGCATAAGAGATGGCTTCGTGAGCACGGGGTTTGTTTAATTCCCTGTATTTTTCCCCGCAAAGATAAACAACGCAAGGGTTATAGCGTGGGTTGACGTTGAAGCTCATTTGATAACCGGCCTCGAGGCAAACATGCTACTGGGAGCTGACACAACTAAAAACAGTATAATAGTTGATTTCTTCGCAAGACAGGCAATCCTTTGTTCATGCGATAATGCTGTCATGCTAATAACCATCACCCCAAAGCCCAACCATCAACGCATTCGCCCGGTATAGATGAAAAACTCATGGTGGGCTCTCAAAAATCTTCTCATAGATCTCAGTGAGGATCCTTGCATCAGCGCGAAGACTAGGGGAGATATATTGGCTCTGCAAAAGGAATTGTATTGTTTGCCTGAGAAGTCTTTCAAGCACATTTCGGTCCACCAGCTCAGAGAGACAGGACATGTAGGTCGCAGAGAGCACAAGCATATTCTCAAATTGTGCATGAGCAGTTCCAAAGATATTTGTTACAATTGGACGACCTTCTATCCCATCAAAGGCCTCTGTACTCAAGATTGCAGAGTCAATGCATACTTTGCAGGCTCGTTGGAGCTTAGGCGGTAGATCTCGGTATGCAATGGTGCCCATCGAACCTCCTTGAAAGGAAGGGGGGGCGGTATGGACTGCTATACCCATATCACTCGACAGGCGCGCCATGTCTTTCGCCCGGCCACTGTATGTTAATGGGAGTGAACCCTGCCGAGATATTGAGCCAGAGAGAATGGATCCAGTAGGTGAGTCATCCAATGAAGAGGCATTGGGGAGTCCAGCAAAATGCAGAGCATGATATAGAAGAGGACGGTGGATCATGTACCGTGCACTGTAATATTTTGCCCGCATACAAGTAATATTTATATCTTTTGAAAGAGGATCAGTGTCTTTCCATTTCATGAACTCTGGAAGATTATTTCGCCACAGTTCGAGATTCATGCTAAGGATTTCCTGTATGTTTGAGGTCCACTGGCTCCTAGATGCGCTGCTTGTGGTTGTGGTACTATTGGAAGGATTACCAGTGATTGTAGCGATTGCAGCATTAACAGCGCTCATAGAACTAGCAGCATTAGTGGCACTGCTAGAGTTTACGCTGTTCATGCCTTGTTCTATAGATATATAATTAGCAGGTCTCCTGGTGCCATGGTGTTATGTGCCTTACTCTCAGCCTTGTACAAATAGGTGTGGACATGGTTAAGGACTTTCCTGAGGTGAATTTGGGCGGAATAGAAAAACATCGTCATAGTACTGTGCGCATAGATTTCATTTGGCGAAGCAAGTGTGAAGCGTCCCTTTGGTAGACCTATACGTGACTCTGCACGTGAAATGCCACTGGTAGGGAGATCAAGGTCTGCAAGGATATCACTACATTCTGAGTTAGTTTGGCCTGCAGGCTAAATTGGATAGTGACACCACCATAAGCATACCTCTCAAGCTTAAGACATGTCCGATACACAAAGTTATAGAGGTCTTTCAGAGGGCCATTCTGTAGTTCGTTATAGCGTTTGCTGGTACTGCAGTCAGCAAGTCATCTTAAGTATTTGGGGTTCAGACAGAAGGCTTACGGTCGGATAAGTACTTGACAGGCATGAGCTGCTTGGTTTATCCACGCATGACTCTGGAAAGGATGTGCTAGTTGGCTGGTGTAAAGTCCTGCAAGCAAGGCCGCTTGAACATAGAGTAAGTCACTAGCCCCTTGGAGGCCTCCAAGTATCTGCGTGGCATATGCATAATAAGATAAACCTGGAATGACATCGATGTTTCTGAGACGATTGGCAGGCCCATCGCGGCCGGATGATGTTGAGCGCTCTCTGATGCTTCTCCGACCGTCAACAGGCAAAGGGGACGGGACAGCGTGGGGATTTGATGATGCATAGAAGCTCCCATGGGTTGGAAGAACCATGTCAGATCCAGCGGGCGACAGGATGCTGTGGGTGGGCGGACCAGGGATCCACTCCTTGCGAAAATCGGGGGGCGCATCAGTGACAGGGCCGGGGACTGGTGCTTCCACTTCGTAGATACTGCCCAGCGCAAGCACGAGAAGGAGGATGGCGTTGCCGGTTGACTTTTCGATGCGATGACTTGTCACTTCTGTCCTAACGCCGCCAGCAGAAGGTTGAAAGGCGCGTGATACACCTTTGAGAGTCTCACATGATCTTTTTCTTTTCACACCTCGTGGCATGTCCCCAGTACCTGTAGGCGTTGACTCAGAAGTCTTTGGTAAGCAATGGGACTTAATGAACATTTCGATCTTCTTATCCAGGTCACTCTGGTCAAGGAAGGGATGAAGTTTGTGTATGTGCTCCAGGTAGCTGTGATAGTAGGTATCTGGACTGGCCCATAGAGTACCAAACTCATCAACACCCCTGTCTTGAAGTTTCTGCGGGAAACCGTCGCGATGAGCGCTCTGTGTCCAAGGACTACTCAGTGATGCTTGGTGATGAGCATCATCCCATCCACTGCTGGAATTTGAGCTAGTTAACGGGTTTGGCGACATGCAATCCTCACTTGTGTCATTGCCCTTACCACAGCCATAGACACAAATCAAGCCACGTTGCTCTTCTTTCCGCATCACATAATCCTCGTCATACTCGCGGGGATAGAGCAGGTTCCTAATTGACGGCCAGGAGAGCAACTTTTGGGTAGCTGTTGTGTATTGTACAGGGATAGACAGCTCACCATTCTCTCTCACCATAAAACTCTGCCCTGTAGCCGGATCATCTGTGTCTGACTGCTGGATGCCATCTCTGTTCTTTGGTTCCAACTTAAGCAAAAGATCGGCAGCACTTGGTTCTAGTAATCTATCAAGTGTCTGCGTTGGCGGTATTTGTTCGGTGGCATCTTTGATAGCTAAAATTTCAGGCTCTTTTAACCCAAACTTATTGGAAATCAAACTCAGTTGTATCCCATGTTCCAGCTGCACCGTTTGAAAATGTGCCAGACGCTCATCAAGCTTGTCTTCCAGATATTGAATCTTGTCCAAGATCTGCTGGGTAGCTTTTTCCTGTCTATCTTGAGAGTCAGTATCCAACAACCACTGACTGAAGAGTAGGGCTTAGGCAGGTCATGTACTTGTTAGGGGGCCCTTCACTGTAGACACATATGAAATCATTCTCCTTGCAGTGGCCGCAGGTAGGCCGCCCTTCATCGCACTTTGCTTTTTTTGCTCTACACTGGTCGCAGGCCTTTTCGATAATAGAAAGAATGCAAGTTAGTCTACTTCCTTTGCATCGTGTGCAGTCTTGATCTCTGCAACATGGAAAAGACAGTCATTACCTGTTGAGCGCGGGCAGCCTTGCGCTGACATATACCAAAAGCTTGATTCTGGGAATTATTCAGCTCATAGGGAGCAAGAGCATGTGAAATATGTGGGCCTGATATCGGAAACTGAGCTGAAGGCATTGTATATGGGATGAGTAGGAGCTGGAATGCAGGGGAGCAGCTGGGGGGGAGGGAGCCAGCGAACGAGGAGGTGGGCATTGGTCACGGAGGGGCGAGGCGTTCCTCGGCACCTGCTGGGTCCAGCCATAGACCCGTCGGGCCCCGGGTGTCATGGAGGAAGAGGTAGTTGAGCTTTGCTCACCTGCCTCTGCGCCATTCATGCCCGGGGCCTGCGTACTGTGGGCATCGGCTACCGCGTCGCGGAACAGACTATCCAGCAGCTTCGTGACAAGCTTGAGCCCTCGCTGAGCGAAGCCCTCGACCCAGGGAGCTTTGGCGGCTCTACTAGGATAAGCTTGGGCAAATTTGATGATGTCCGTACAGTGCACCATGAAACAAAATGAGAGATCAGCAATCGATGAGTCGTTACCGGCTCCTAGGACCGGCGACTGAGCCATGCTATCGAAAGTCGAAACAGTTGTGTCCTATGGGAAATAGGTGATAGTATGTGATGTTGTCCGATAGTAGGCGATGCTGGAATAGTCCATGAATGGCCTGACCCAGCGCAGAGAAGCAGTCAGTCTGATGGCCGGGGGATGGAGCCGGCCTATCAGGTGACCGCTCTGCTTAGTTACATATTCTAATACAAATAAAGGGGTGCGCGCTCGATAGGTCCAAAGATAGATTTAAGACAAAGTAATTTGGAAACCGGGCCAACTCATGACTTTATCAATCCTTATTCTCTCCTTCAATTGGCTCTGAACAGAGGGCGCTATGTCATTGTCAAAGAAAGGGAGGAGTTTTGGGGGGTTGCGGAAATAAACAGTCAAGAAAAGTGACAGAACAAGGACCATGCGCTAACAAAGGAAAGCGGGGAGTCGAGAAACTCACAACTGACGGCTGACAGGCATCAGTGTCTAGATGAAATCAAGGAGAGCGAAGTGCGACGATTCACGAGTTTTTCTTCTAACCTTATATCTCTAATTCTTTCTTGCTCGCTTGCTTTCTTCCTCCCTGTCCTAACCTGGGATTTTGTACCAGAATCACCTTCTGCACCTTGTCATTCATCTATTTATCTAATGTTCTTTTTCCTCAGCCGAGCACCTCGACCTATTCCTGCCCCATCACAAGCGTTTCGCTCCTTACCACGTTCCCAAATGTCTTACGATCGAGTACTTCCCAATCCTGCTTTGCTCTATGACGCTTCTCAAGTCCCTCTTCCGAGGCGGTCAAATAACCTTCTCGACTACAAGATCATGGAAGAGACGGCTACCAAAGTTTCACTGGTAAACTGTCGTGTTGACGGTGGTCAGTGCAGGTATACTGCGGAAGGACCAGCAACCGGGCCGCCTCGGGTGCCTATCTCTTCGAAAGGGGCAAACCCTATCCTAGGTAGGATCGATTCCGATCCTCCCGTCGCGTCTCCCAAGCTTGCGGTACCAGCACGTACCAAGGACATGCCGGTGCCAGAGCAATCCTCTCAAATGGGGAGATCCTCCTCTTCCAGTCCTGTGAAATCAACAACGTCAAAGGAGTCTGTTATGAAGTTTTGTCTCTGTCAAACGATTCCCAGGCCAATGAACGGTAAGGCTTTATCCATTGTCAATATGGCCACGAGCTGACAGAGAGTACTGTCAGCTTTTTTTTTGTATCGGCAACATTACCAAGCTGCAGTGGTGGCTCAGAATCCAGGGCTTGGGAACCCGGATATCTCCAAGATTATTGGGCAGAAATGGAAGGAGCTGCCGCAAGAAACAAAGAATGAATGGCATGCTCTTGCCAAGGTATGCAGCCTAGAACTCCATTTCTTGAGCTTGTCCACTTTCATTCTTGCTAACTTTTCACTGACAGTATGAAAAAGCTCGCCATATGCAGCAGTACCCAGAATACCGGTACCAGCCCCGTCGCTATAGCCGGGATGGCATTAATTCCTGTGCGATGAAGCCTGGGATTAGCCACAATCTTCCGTTCTCTGCAGTCTGTAACCGATGTGGTGGGCGAGTGATGGCCCACCCTAGTTGCCGGTCCCTAGACTCGAAACGTCGCCAGTTCAACTCTCAAGTATCACTGAAACCAAATGTGCATCGGGAGAGAACCGCCAAGTCCCCATATGCAATGTCCCTGTATGCCCCCCGCACGAGTGCACCTGACGCTCAGATTTCACATCAAATGGTCCATCCTTGGCGTACTGCTCGATGTAGCAATGATCATCCACCACATGATCCAAGTCTGAAGCTTCCACCACTGCAGACAACAGCGCCTCTCTCCCCCTCCATGACGCCTATCACTCCTTTTCCGAACGACGGATCAAGTCTCGATGCCACACTCATCTATTCCCTCCATCAGCAAAATCAAAGTTCTCGCCAAGGTATCCCCTCCGTCCTTCCATGCCAGTTCTATCCCACGACGAGGAGCTGAGATTGCCATTGACGGGCAAGATCCCGCACAGATGTAAAAGCAGTGCTCCATTACCTCAACTCCAATCTCCAGATGGAAGGAAATACGAACCCCGCGTCACGCGACAGTTACTCTGCAGATGGACAGATGGGTGATGCCGCTGTCGATTTTCTCAACACCATTTCAGTATGGTATTGCATTTCGGATGACATTGTGAGCTCTGTGGAGCCTGTGCCGGGGCGCTCAGAATCTAAACCGGAAGATCATGACTGCCATTCTAAGATTTCTCCCAAAACCATCATTTCCAAGACGGCCGATGTGAAGACAGGCTCTTCAGCTCAACCCAGCGAAAACGGATTAGGACCGGCCGCGTCGGTTTCCGGCTTTGATCTCTCAACAGTCCCCATTGCGCCGGTCCCTGCCAGCTCATTACCGCATATGCATTCACGTGTTCTGCGCCGATCAACAATTCATACCCTCCCTTGGATCACTGGCAGTGCATGGCATCTTTCTGAAGAGCGTGCGTTGGGTCGGACATGACAATCACTGTCCAAATCTGGGATTGCGAAAAAGATGTTGGTTCGCTACGGAATCAACCCAATCAAGGTCCGTCTGTAGGATGCAGGGACTGTGGTCGTGCCAGCGTAGCCCGCTCCCAGAAGGAGCTGGAAGAAAACGCTTTGAAGCGAGTTAGTCATGTGATAGAAAATTTCCTCGCCCAGTGAGATTTTCCTGCTCGGTTTTCTCGTTTATTTAGCATGGATCATCACATTGCGTGGAGGCGGCTTTTTTACTTTTAGTCAACGTAAACATCATCCCTTTTTTCACAGTCCGTCGTTGGTTCTATCTGGGCTGTCGTTCTTTTAAAATATATTGACATTTTGTGTTGAGAATTATCGCCTTGTTTGCTCTGGGGTTCGTAACTGGCCCACTTGTCGCCAGTTTTGTCTATCAGCGGTTTAGGTGGACCGCAGTTGTACTGCTTCTTGCGTCGGCTACTATCGCCAGTGCGGTGTCGACAGCGTTGTAGATGGGACAAGAAATGAGAAATGGATGGCCAGGGGAACGAAGCAGTGCAAATGACGTGACTGATCGGGAAAAAAAAGCCAGCTAAACTTGCGCTTAATGATTCTGGTGGCTTGTGTCCTATACTACGTCTACATCAGCCTAGAACTTGTTCAGCTGAACACATAGTATACCTGGTAAATCCAATCTGATTGTGGAATAGGAAGCTTCAGATTAGATGAAGGCGCTGCTTGCACCATAACAAATTGGTGGTTATAGCATGGTTGAAGGCTAGATGCTGGATTGGCTATTGGGCAGCGTTGGTCTTCATCATCATCATCAATTAGTTACCCATTAAGATTTGCAGATGCATTTTATGGTCCTGGAGGAACATCAGGAATGAACCATAACAGCAATTTTGCATGAAAGCTGTATCTATAGCCGTAGGCCTGTAGTATAGTGCCACTAACAACGGTCAAATGGAAATCACAGGACAATAATATTGAGGATAGGATATCGAATACCATATAGTCAGGATTGTCATGGGCTGCTCCCACGACACGCGCCACATTAGGTATGCGGCTATGGTCACATGGTGACAGGTAGTTATTACATTGATTAGTACACCAACCACCTGTAGTTATCTAGTTTCTTCCTTCTTCAGCAATTCCACTTCATTCCTTCATGGCCTATTGGGACGGCTAGAGTAGGAGCCCCGGACTGGGATATTCTAGCCCATGACAAGGATATCAAATCATTGAAACCTCATATAGTCAGGATATTAAATAATATTATGTATCTAGGGCATTAAATCCTCATATAGTAGGATATATATATTTTGAACATGTAGTACCTGTGGTGGAGTAATCCCATCTCTTTTTATATATGGATATATATATATTTAATATCCTTACTATATAGTATGCGACATCCTCACTATATGGTATTCAATATCCTGATGATATAGTATTTGATGATTCGATATCCCTACTATATGGTATTCGATATCCTGACTATATGGTATTTGATATCCCTACTGTCACGCCCTGGGATCCGTCTCTGCTGTTCTCCGCTAGTCAACTACTTTGGGAACGGGATACTATAGTCAACCGGACTACAGTCTGATACTTGCCTGAGGCCTACCGACCAGGTAGCCTGTATGCAATGATACAATGATCCGACCAGGTCCAAGGACAATCCAAGATGACGCAAGAACAATAATAGTAGAGATAGAAGCAAGGCCTACTGAGTACATATACTCAATAGTATGAGAGTAACTGACGAATCGGACTAGTGAACTTGTACTCAAGTGAGATATTAAGATTGAACGCGAGGAACTAAACTAAGAGTGTTAGATACAATGGTAATGTGTGTCTTTATATAGTTCCTCCCTTCATATCAACTAATATGAAGTTTCATACCGCTGGATCTGTTATTTCATAGCGGCGCTCTGAAATGTCAGATTAGTCGCTCTGCGGAACATATCACCCGCTATGCCGATAGTCACGTGACACAGTGGTTCCGCTGCGCCTTCTCCTTAGGCATTCATCATGGTCAGTCCTTGCCTGAACGACTGGTCATCATGGCTCCTTGATTCTGCCCGTCGCGCCCGCCTGGCAACGTTGGTGTTGTAACAACTACTATATGGTATTCCATATCCTGATGATATGGTATTTAATGATTTGATATCCCTACTACGGAGTATATGGTATTCGATATCCTGATGAATGAGGATTCAATGATTCGATATCCCGACTATATGGTATGCGATATCCTTCCTATATAAGTATTTTGATATCCCTACTATGCTGTTATGATCTCTCGCTTTAGTAATGAGCTCATATACAGGGCGCAATGTGTCGCACAAGCAACACTTCATTACAATAACACAAGAACCCCTACATTATCAAACCCAAGCCAATAATAGCAAAAAGGGCTAGTCAAGATCAAGTAGGCGGAATGCCTGTGGTACTATATTTCATGGATTTCATCGGGACATACAACAGAAGTGCAAACTAGACCCAGGATGTGCTTAAGCCTGACTGCATGGCCCAAAATTTCCTCCTGTGCCAGTATTAGATTATCCTAAGAGCATTGTGTCCCGGGACAATTACAAGTCTTCGGAAATTGTACCAGTAAGGTGATGACCATACACTGATTCTTGTCGTCCGCCTCGCTGCCACTCACTAATATTGGTGAATCACATGAAATCTCCCCTTGTCTTTCGCTTGGTGATGTTGTTATCGTAGGCTGATTTGAAGTATTGCTTGACTGCTCTTCAGCGTCTCGTCTCAAGCTTGGCCGACCGCGTCGCTTGACTCCGATCGGCAACGATCCTGCCGGACGGCCGCTGCGTCGTGGTCGTCCAGATCGAGCAGCGGGAGGAGTGATCCTTGCCATCTGATTCAACAGACACGGCAATGCTGATGATGATTAAAGAAGGATATCTGCTTACTATGAATATGAGTAAAGGAAGATCAATCATAAAGTTCATCTCTGTGTATATGTACTCAAAACTTGGGAAATAGAGGAAATAGATGCGTCTCTCCTCCTTATTATGCTGAATGCCTGAATGTGTTGATGCTTGAAGTTCAGGGAAAGGGGAGAAAATCTGAGGAGACACAGATTTTAATCATGTTGAGTTGGGAGTACATGCAAAGATGCGTGGCGCGTGAATTGCTTATTTGCTTTTGCTAGACTTGTGACCTATCGTTTTCACATAGTATATCCTACGGTGGACTATTTGTACAAACCGGCCAAAATAAAATTTTTACCATTGTTACGTATACCCACACCCTCTGCAGCTGTAGGTAGGGAACACCAAATAACCACCTTAGATCTTACTATACTATACTAATAAAATAGCATTGAATACTAGGTAAAGGCGGATTTATGTTGAACATGTTGCTGCACTATCATTTCTACTAGCTAGAAATGGTTGACTTGACCTTTTTAGCTCAGTGGTTTGAGTGCATTCGACAATTTATAGCATTATTAATAAAAGTGGTGTAGCTCAGCTCTGTTATTCTAATGAGTTCACTAATCATTATCTCTGCTACTGTACGGAGTACCTTGGATTTACTCACCTATTCACATTATGGTATAATAAATGGCAGTAATATCCGCCATCAATCACGCGGCGCGTCCACTGTGTAATTAGATGAGCCTTGCCGATTTTGAATAGCTCATACCCGCCAGCGTGTAGAGGTCTGGTGTAGTAGTCATTCCACGAAATGATCTCCACCTCTTGCCAGCGACTAAACCAGAGCCAGTTTTCGCCGTAGCTGGGAGGATTGGTATAAAACCATGGGGAGATAGGCATCATATAGGGAAGTCTAGACCTCGTAAGGAGTCGCGACTCGTCAGGTTCGATTCGACTCGGAACCGCCAAGACTCAGGTTCAGGTTCTAAGATCTTGGAATCGCGATCCGACTCCAGGATTTTTAGAGTCGAACCTGGCAGGTTCGACTCGAACCTCAGGTTCCACAAACAGTGCAAATATAGGAAATCTCGTGATATGCATATTTTGTGCAGTTTTCCTCTGTATTTTTGAGTATTTAGTTTACAATTTAGGCGAAAAGGTTAGATTAAAATGATTTTAGTATAGAATCAGATGGGAGCTTTCACATTTTAAATTCTACTATTTTTATGGCTTATGATACACAAATTGATCTTCATCTCGCTTTGAACGCTTTGGAACCCGCCCTGATGTTCGCCTCTGAGTACTACTTTCGCCATGCAGGTCGCTGTTGTCAGGCAGAGGGATTTCATCCTGATTGGATCGAATTCATACACCGCCTTACGAGCATCTTGTTCTTCTCTTGCTGCTTGAATCTCCTGGGCTGTGAGATATTTATTGATGAAGGTTAGCTGCTCTGATTCAATGTCAAATCTTGATGTACACATAAACATCATAAGATCCTTAATTGTTTTGGGCTTCAGAGAGCCTCGACGGTAGTGACATATGTCACGAGCTGAGTTGAATAGTTGTTTAACACCAGAACCAGTAGCAGGAGTTGTAAGAACATCTCGTGCTAGGCTTGCGAGGATAGGAAATTCATGCTGTTGGTCCTTCCAGAAAAGCCGCGGATTGATCAGACGAGTGCCTAGAAATAAGATAAGTAAGAGAGATGTGAGAGATGAAGAGAGAGTAGCATACTGCTTCCAAGATATCGCGTAAGCTTGCTGCGGGCGTTTGTCTGTGGCTGGAAGGATGTAGCCGATGTGATAAGCATATTGATATCAGAGATCTGATCTGCCGAAGAGTGGCCATTGGATGTGGGCTGTGTATCTGAATATCGCTGTTGGTAGGGCACAAGGTAATCCTCAAGGCTCTTGCGGTATCGTACGCGCCAGCATGGCTCCCACTCCTTAGTAGAAAAGAAGTGAAGCTTGTTTTGTGGCGCCAGGATTGTACTAATTGCATACAGATCATCCTGGATATCATCAGTCATGCTATAATACTCTGATAGCTTCAACTTGGCTTGCTTCAGGGCAGATAGCATCACTGCCTTCCAGTTAACCTTCTTTCGCGT